AGCTTTGACTATCAAGAGATAAGAATACTCGATACGTAAGGTCATCGTGGCTAATTTCTAGAGAATTGGGAATTTCAGATTCTAGCGGTTCAATATATACCTGTCTTCGGAAACTTAAAATATGATTATATTCAGGAAGAGGTGCGCCGATCTTCAGAAATGAAATAGGCGAAACTGTTTTGATGCCTATACGTTGTATACTATCTTTGATTTTTGCGTGCGGTATTGTGGGGCAGACATTTGAGATGACTAATCTATCTGCAGGTGCTACTAGTCGCCGTGCATGTGCAACTTGTCCTTGCAATTCGATTTTTCCAGGATTATTGAGAAATTTGTCGACTATTTGCTTGTTGGAGAAATAAATGCATATACGGTTATTTGAAATCCTGGAGCAGAATATTATATTTTTTGGATCTACTATGGGGCCCAGCTCCAAGAGGTAATCTTGTATCCTGGTACCCTCGATGGAATTAAAAACGATGGCTTGATCTTTATTGGGATGCTTGTAAGTGACTGGCTGATTTAGTACAGTAGAATAAGATGGAGCATTGGTGATAATTGTTGATGTTGTAGGAATACTTTGGAGAGACATCTTTATTGGTTCAATTGCCTTCTTTCAGATATGCTGTGACCATATCTGAGTACGGTACTGTGTTTTGTAACACGACGATGAAGGAGTCTTTTTGTGCGACGTGAATTCCACAAACGCAGGAGGAAATCTCAGCACTGTGGCTAGCACACACTGCTGTATTGCTTCAACAGCGGAATATCGATGAAAATTCGGTGGTTTCTTACTCACAGTAGGCTGTTGGCTTCTATCTTGATGGTATGGATATGTCACTATGCACAAATTACGTTGTTTTACTGGTAGAAATTAAACTTTTTCAAGAGCCCGATTAAACTGCTGCGACTCGGTAAAGAGGCAGGGCCGGATCCGAATTTCTCTTTATTAATGGTAGAATGACAATTCCTAGGACAGACCCTTTTTACTGATTTTCTTATGGCAAATTTCATACTTTATAGATTGTATAATTTCGCACGGATTATATCTTTCTTTCTCAGCGATTCAGTGTGGTGTTGAAACCTTTTCTACACTAATGTTATAGTATTATTAGCGACTATCTCTGAAATTTCCTCATAAAATATCGTTGGCCCCTCGTAACCAGCGCGACATTGAGATTTCTGTAAGGAATAACCTATATTTGGTTTCCAATCAAGATAGCTTCTTTTAAAAAACTTACGTGTATATGCGGGTCCAGCGGGTTCATTTTTTATTTCCGTTGAGGCTTTGTGATGTGTGGGTCGTTTCGTTGGTCGTAGTTTCCAGATTCTGGGATATTACGCGCCAAACACCAAATTATGAAGTAGCATCCTTTATTTTGTACCTTACGTTTAGTTGTTTTGGTTTGAGTGCTACCCCGTCCATTTCATTCAGCGTAAAAAGGCATTGCGGCGAACTACCATTCACACTCCTCCAGCTTTTGTTGCTGCTTGTAGCTGTTTCACACGACAAAAAACTCTGATGAGAACAGGTAAAATATCATTTTAATTGGGTATTTTATAGATATTGATATATTGGTTGTTGCTGACTGAAATTCTTAGAATGTACTTGATTTTGTTTGGCATTTTTCGATTTCGTATTCAAATATAGGGCAGTGTCTACATGTCACCTTTTCTTGGGCTTACTACATTACATTGATCATGATTTTGATTTTTGAGCTGTCATAACTTTATTTTATAACGAGAGATACATTTCTGAGGGTATATCTCTTCAGTACATTTTTATCTTCTCTTGCCCTTGCTTTACTTTCCTTTGAGTTTCGAGTGTTTAAATATGTAGTTCTGTCTTAGACAAAGAATAGAGAGTAGAATTTTACGCAGTCTTTCTCTCTCTCTTCACATCACTGCCCACTGCTGGCCATTGGTTTTTGACCCGAGCGTTTGTGAGCTGAGGATATCTCGGCTGCACCTAGAGCTGTAGCTGGAAGATGACCATTATCCAGATAAGTTTGGGCTTAGGCGTTAAAATATTTGTGAAGCCTATATTTGTAAAACCTTCATACGGTAAGCGGCAAGCGTTTTGCGGGGTTGATTATCACGGTCTAATAATTTTATTGTGCGGCAGTTCAATAATAATATACTTTTTTTTAGCTTGTACTCCAGTGGTGGAGCATACGTGTTGTTTGTTGAGATAATGTATCGTGATTCTTTTTCAATAATATATTGTTTTATTTGGCTCTCTGTGTACAATTAACTCGGTTTTGCCATTACTGTGAGATTCTTTTCTTTTGTGTGGGTGGTCAGGCAAAACAAGTTCCGATTAACACTTCGGGAATTTGTGGCAGTCACTGGCACACTGTTTTGCATTGACTGACCCTTAGATTTTATGTATAGTGTTTTATTAATTTATTGATTAATTAAAAAAAAAGGAAAGAGGACTCACACCACAATTTCCCCTTCTTCATAAAAACAGACGTGGCACTCTCAAAGGTTGCCGACCGCTGTTCTACAGGATGTAGTGTCTCCGCCTGCTTTTTTTCAAGATCTTTTATCTAGGGCGGTAAGTAAAGTCTCGCTAAGTAACCTGGAACCAATATGGAAGTTACGGGAGCTGTCCCTATTTATTTGTTGCTTCGAAAAATTCGGTAATAGAAAAGTAGGTTCAATTCATTTTAACTCCATCCGGTGTACTATTTTGCGAGTTGTATCTGTACAGTTTCACACGTATGCTTTCGCCATATATGGTACAGCCAATCTCTGATAATTCGAATTTCAATTCCACATACCGCTGTATATGGTGTCCTCAGGAATCTGTCAAGTATGTTTTCATGTTGGAGTGTTATGTGTTAATTAAAATCACAAATCATCCGATGAATCGCTGGCGGCTTTTTTGTCCAAAATATTGCGATTAATTATGAATGTCCCCTACGGCCTGGGGTGATTTAGATTCGACGCCATCCCAATTGATAGATGGCGCGCACGTCGGTGGTAAAATGATTTAATTTCTTTGACGCCTACAAACCATTTCGTTATTGAATCATCGACGATCTCTCACCCATTCTGATTTATTGCGCTGTTGCTTTTGAAAAACTGGATGGATTATGTGCATCCAATGCACAATATCAATTCATTTTAATACTCTATTTTTTGTACAAGTGTCATTTCTTAAGTGAAAACCGTTTTGTAATGGAGTTATAGAAATTTTATTTATGAATCTAAGCTGTAACATAAACTAAACTATAAACATGTGTTAACCCTGGAACTGCGCACTTATTTTTTATCCTATAAACTGCACACTGGGGTCTGAGAAACCCAAGTATTTTTGTTGGATGTTATGTACCCTCATTATTATATTTTTACTTTTTATGTCAAAATACATCAGATAATTCGTAGAAGAAAATATTTTAATAATATTTTGTTCATTGGGTTCAACGTTAATTGTATTAGAACAAAGAATATTACAAATCAGTATACAATTACACATTAACTGAAGGTAATCAATAAAAATGCAACAAAAAACTTTTAAAAAGATAAATACATTTTTATTGCCTAAAAAGTCAATATAGAACATAAAAAAAGTTGAAAAATGAAAATACACCTCAATAAATTTCTTAGCCATGAAACTCAGTTTGTGTCTTCACATTGGCAGCAAAGTTTAGCCCTGTGCTCTAAACAATATGGTTTGTAGCATTTAGAACATCCAAAGTTAGTTTTTCTGTCTTCACCACATGGACATATTGCACATCTAACCTTTCTTGGCAAATCTGTTGCTGGATGCTGTCTTTGTGGCGCATCCATTCCTAGAATTTCACTAATGCTAAGCCGAAGATATGATCGCAGCGTGGTCACTTGTGCCCGCTCTCGTAGATGTGGCTCAATTAATGAATTACTTAGTTCTTTGAGAAACGTTTTACGATTATTTTTAGTATTTTCTTTCCAATCTGGATTCACAAGAGAGAATATAATCATAGCATTAGTTCCATTGGCATCCAACATATTGAAAAATATTCTCACGGGCCACCTTCTAGTTTTGCGTGATGTCATGTAAGAATGACATAACTGGTCAAAACTATCCGTTCCTCCCTTCGTTTCATTATATGAATGTATCAGGTTTGGCTTTCCAGTATCGACATTAATGGATGAATCAGGATGCAAAGTGGATAGTAAAAAGCACAACTTTATTTCGCTTAGGCGTATACGAAACAAGCGTTTTGTTGTGATCAAAAGCAAAAAGGGACGTGCCAACTGCTTTTCTTCCTAAGAAGCTTGTGGGTATCTCTCTTTTGTTTTTCCGCAGTGTTCCTAGGATTGTTAATTTATACTCATGGAACATTTCCTCACATAGAGGTATAGAGGTGAACCAGTTGTCTATGGTTATATTACGGTGGGTTCCATGAATTGGTTCTGAGAGTTTCCGAACATAATAAGTAGGTACTGGCTCATTATTCTCTACATTAACTTTTCCCACATATGGAATTGCATTAACCATATAAAAAGTTTTAAAGTCGTTCATCATGATTATTTTCATACCATATTTATCGGGTTTACTAGACATGTATATTCTGAATGGACATTTTCCCCGAAAACTGACAAGTTGCTCATCCACTGTGCAATTTTCATAAGGAGTGTAACACGACTTACAGTTTTCAATAAAAATTTCCCAAAGCTGTCGGATATGTGTAAATTTATCTACTAATTTTCTTGCAGCCCTACCATTCTTATCATCGAATCGTAAACAGAGAGCTAGAAACTGAAATCTCTGTTGAGACATTGTAGCTCGAAATAATCCATATCCGTACTTTATTGACCATAATTCATCTAAATTCGTATTTGATAGTCGAAGGGCCCCTGCTAAATAGAGAAGCCCAATAAAAGCTTTAATCTCTACAAGGTTACTTGGCTTTTTATAACTTTGTGGCAAGTTTTCAAAAACACTTACGCACAATTTCTTGATTTGTGTGTAATACAATTATATCTAACATTTCTTGGTTAAATAATAACTACCATGCTTCTATTGGAGAGCGAACTAATCTCGCCTGTTGTTTAGGACCGGGCATATGTAAAACAATATTGTCTCTCGTTGTGCGGCCTCTGCGTTCTAGTATTTTGGTACTCCAGCGATGACCGTTTTTGCCCATTATACTAGCAGTGTTCCTGCTCGATATACCAGGATTCTGTAACACAACTTCATCACCATCATCACTCTGTTCATTGTCAGTATGAGACTGTTGTTCATCGACATAATCTTCAACCCTGTCAGATAATTCACCAAACTTCGTCACTATCTGCCTCATCTTCATTTTGCCACACATTGTCGACCTCATTTTGTAACTCACGTTGCGTTAAGGGATGACGATTTTCCCAGTCAGAATTTGCCAAAGCTATAAAATACAAAATAAATATTATCAACGTAAACCACACACTGGGGTCTGCCGTACCCATTCACCGATGTTAGTCAATATTCGGACGGGATAGATAGCACAAATAACAGCCAACGTCTACGCACTGTCTCTCCTCACTACAGACTGAATTTACACCGAACTATCCAGCCGAACTATTTACGTTTCTTCGAAGCACTTACAAGAGAGGGGATACCTGGGTTTCTCAGACCCTATTGTGCAGTTCCAGGGTTAACATACTCACCATAAACATTCAAACGTCGTGACACCAGTTTTTGGATTCCGTCGTCAAAGAACCTGACCGTCAAAGCAGTAACTATTTCATTCAGCCTGTCATTATCTTGTAAATGCTTTCCATCAAGAAATTCCTTAGGTTTTGGAAAAAGATGAAAACCTGATGGTGGTAAGTTAGAGATGTGTGGTGGATCATCCAATAATTCGCAACGAAAATCACGACTGTGTCCTTGCCGCAATGTTAGGCCGATCATTGTCGAGTAGTAGAACCACGGCGCGCCGCTAAAAATGAGGATCCGCCAGCGGTCTTGCATTTGAATACCAGAATAGTGCGCCTAATTCAACAAGCTGATGGTAAAAACCAAATTACTGAGCGCACTTCACTACCAGCGAGCTTGCTGATTGACATTTTGATAAACAATGCAGTATGACCACACAGCCAATTCCAGGGAAGTGAAACCAACTACGAGCCCCATCCCACTTCAGTTGGCCCACTTCAAGATTTGTACCAAAGTATGCCTTTATAAACTAAAAATGACGAAACTATTTACTTCTAAAACAATTTATTTTCACTAAAACATTTTAGATACACTCTAGTCGTAAAAAATACAAAAAAATGTGCGAATAAATGCGCGAAGTTAACAAAGCAACAATTGAAAGATTACCACTGGGTAACATCACCTTTACTTTTTATTACGGCTGAAACTCTATGGGGCATAGTGTTAACCAAGTTTTGGAAAAAAATTGGTGTAAAACAATCCCATGTTTCTTGAAGGTTTTGTCTCAGTCCGGTGATTGTACGAGCAGGATGTTTTCGTAGAACCTTTTTCATCTCGTGCCACAAAGTTTCAATAAGTGACAGATCTGCACTGCTAGAAACCCATTTCAAAAGTGGTACATTATTTTCTTCCATCCACTTTATAGCCTTTTTTGAGGTATGGCACGCTGCACCATCTTGCTGAAACACAAAATCTTGGCCGGATGTCAAACATTCTTCTATCACTGGTAAAAGCGATTCTTCTAAAATTGCCAAATATTTGTTTGTATCCACATTTCCATCAATAAAATGAAGTTTTCATACTCCTTTTGATGACATACTGCCCCAGACCATAATGGATGCTGGAAATTTCACTTTTCTCTTCAGACAATCAACATGGAATGCTTCATTTTTTTTTGCAAATAACTCTATTGCGACTGTCACCAACACAAACTTCGAACCGGGCCTCATCACTCCGTTGTATTGCACACCAATGTTGAGGTGTCCATTGTCGATATTCTTTGGCCCATCTAAGCCGATTGTTCTTTTGCAGTGGAGTTAATAGTGGCTTTTCATTCGCCTATAAACAAGTTGTGCAACTTTAGGGTTTTTACTTCACTTTTTTATAAGAAAGCCTACCTTGCAAGTGCTAAATACCAGTTTGTGGGCCTCTCTATGAGTTGTGGACCTCGAAATGCGAAATTCTCCTTCCAACAGCGTCACTCCAGAGAGCACTTAATTGTAAATAATTGGCACGCCTTTTACGTTATATCTTCTAACAATATTTCTCACACTGTACCGCGATAAGTCTAACAAAGTTGCAATTTCTGAGTTTGATTTCCCAGAATTACAGAATTTAATTATCTGCAACCGAATTTTCTCACTATACCCGTTTTGAAAACCTTAACTACCCAAAACTATTTTAAACGTATTCTGACAGCTGTGATTAATAAAAACAATTGTCATGGCTTTTATTTTTCACAGTCACCTATGCGTTATAGACTTATTTTGCATTGAAATGAAAATAGGTTGATATGCTGTAATTCTGTTATTTTTATGCTGCAAATTTGATTAGGGACTGATAAAGTTGGTGTTTTCTACTATATATGATCAAAATCTTCATTGTTAATATTTTAAGCCTATAACACCCTGCTACATTTTTATTATTTGTGTTTGATAAGAAAAAACTAAGATTTCAATAGTCGGGCCAACTGAAGTGGGAAGGGGCTCGTAGCAGCTTAGTGAGAGACTGGTCAAGGTTGAACCGGTGTCTCGTGACATGATGCGCGGACACGGTGCACAATCTGTTCTTTAAAAATGGCCCTGGTATTAATTTGTATGTAAAACTCATTCTTAGGAATAGCCACATCTGAACATCATGGCTGTTAAGGAATAACTTTGCTGTGGTGCCAGGCAAGCCCCAAAAGGCCCACTTCCTAAGTCCATATCTGTACCCCAGAGCCAGACTAAGTCCGGAAAGTTGATTTTGCAGGAAAGGATTTCAAAGGATTTTTTTACTGAATATTTGATTGTTGAAGTATTAATTAGGTAATGTTAAGTTGGGCTTAGGATAACATTTTTATTTTTATGGACATAGATCAGCAGTGATCAAGAAGATTATATTTGAGTCCTTAAAATATGTGCTAACTGGACTTGGCATATTTAGGAAACCTGAGGACCCACACAGCTTAAGAGGGAATTCGCAGGAGTATGATTGACGTCAGCAAAAATTGTAATACTAATCTTAATCACGTACTCCTCCGCGTATGCCTTTAAATTTAAATGGTTATTACCTAGATGGCAACTTATAGATTTTGAGAGATAATTCTGATTTCAGTAAGTTATAGATTATATTTTTTGTGGGCGTTCTTCGCCGTACCAATTCACAAGATGGTGGATGTAGCTGAAGTCTGGAGACGGTCAAATATAATTATATCGGAAGAAATAAGCATCGAGTCACTATTCTGAGGTGTCAGCACGAGGAGAGTTGAATAAGGATTATGTATATTCAGACTAGCGTTATAAAGAATATCCCGATTGAGAAAATATTATATATTCTCTCCAGTAGATGGCGGTAGCCATAACTTCAAAAATATGTTTCTTAACTTTGAGAGGATATAGGCTGAAAAGGATCTTTTGGCTCTCCATTTCTGCGACCCAAACAAACCTTATACAATGTCCACGAAAATATATTTAGAAATCATTAGTACGCCTAGCCACTAGAAGACAGATGACAGAAAGCAAATAGGCGACTATGAATATAACAAAACCTCAACATTATAATGTGCATTAAGTAAAAGTAAAGCTGTCAGCTATGAGCAGCTTACCAAGCCGTGGTACTATTGACCGTAGCACTTGCGTAAGTGATCGCTGGTCTAATAACCATCTTGTATAGCCGAACTTTGTTGATCTAACTTACATAGCATAGGGTAGAGTTACTGAAACGAGATTTCGAATTTAGTTTTTAACACTTCAGTGTGCTTCTGCCAGGTCATCCCCTTGTCAAGAGTGACACCGAGATACTTAGCAGAGCTGTCCCATGGTACCCGAGCTCCATTCACTGAAACCTCAGACGGGGCGCCGCGCCGTTACGTTTTTTAGTACAATAGATTGCCTGCCTTTTCGAATGATTAATTTTGATCAGCCACCGATTCGCTCATTCTAATACTTCGTTCACTGCACTTTGCAGCCTTTCGTCAACTAGAACACGACAGGGCCACCAGTGCAGTATCATCAGGATAGAGATAGATTTTACAGTTCCTGGGGCAAGGGACGTCATGAACAAAAAGTGACTAAAGGACTGGTCCTAGAACCGAACCCCTGAGGACACCGGCTTTGATGGGCCGTCTTGTCGACAGAACGTTATTAATTTTGATCTGAAATGTCCTACCCTCGAAGAAGGATTTCAAAAGTTTTAGGAGCCAGAAGGGGAAGCCCTTATGGATCAATTTGTAGAGAAGGCCCTTCTGTCACACCTTGTCAAATACCTTTGAGTTTTGAGTCATCCAGAAGCAAGATGCCAGTACTTTCGTTATGGGTGAACCCCCTGGTTACTCGTTCAACAAGCCTTATGGCCTGTAGCTCCGTACCACGCTGAGACCGAAATCCAAATTGCACGTCAGGAATCACATTGTGGTCCGACCAGAAATTTTCAACGTAGAATCACCTTTTCAGCGAGCTTAGAAGGAGCTGATAGTAGACTAATTGGGCGTCCACCATCAATCATATTAGTACTAAGTTCTCACCATACTATCAGCATTGGCTAAACAAATTAAAACAGTTTTGTTTTCGGCAGTGCTTCGTAATAGTTCATGAATTATTTGACTGATAGATCTAAGTGCGTGATAAAATGTAATTTCTGGTGCCCACAAGGAACTTTAAAAAGGAGTTTAAGGCAGTGTTTCTCCAGTTATAAGCTTTTGGAACCTCAATTTTATAACATTGCTATGTTCTCTGTAAAATTATTGATAAGATGAAGCCCATGATTGTATGAAATAATTTTATCTTGCTGATTCTCATGGTAGTTGCTGTAGGGAAAAGTAAAAAGCCGCAATGCCTATCCTCAGCCTTTTGAAGCGTTGTTTTATTATTACTGTATACGATGGCATCAATAGGAGTAGCCAAGGATGACATAATTGTAACATATTGACACAGGTCTAGCTTAACTTCCACACTATGTAGCAATGTATCGATGAAAGAAACCTTAGTTCGGTCCTGCATTCTGACTTTACAATATACCTGTGAAACGTTGTGCCTGGGGATCTCCTGGTAACATAATAGTATACGAAAAAGAAATGCTTTCAGCAAAATCCGACTAAGATCCGAAAAGCAAAAACGCATAAGACTGTAACAGATTTCAACGATAAAGATCTTGGCCTGACACCATGACCAAAGACGTTAAGCCATGTCG